CTTATTTTTCCACGAAAAGGCTCGATAGTGCCAAAAGTTGGTCTTGGTTAACTTCTCATAGAAAGGGTATTAGAACGTAAAATTTTAGGGTTAGTAGTTTTAGATATTGAAGTTTTGAATGAGCAAAAATATCGAAAAAAAAAAAATTTTATCGAGTGCCTCGTATTTTGAAGCGATGCTCGATCAGCTCATGGAAGCTCTCTTAATTTTCCATATGAAAAATTTTTAGAATGATTTATTCACACAACCGATAACGTAAATAATGGATGTAATTACATTATAATACAATCTATTTCATGCATTATTCCGTAGATAATGCATGAAATAGATTGCATCCATTATTTACGTTATCGTATACATGGATGACGCCCTGCACGCGCGTACGATTCTTTAAGCAAACCGAAGCTAATCTGCGTTCAGCAAAATCTTTCATAGTACACTTTTCAAACTTTTATTTTATATAAAAGAAAAAAAAAGGTATACTATTTAGTTTCTTCTATAAACAGTAACAAAATAAACACGAGATCATCTCCAATGTCATAGAAAACGTACATGAATCAAGGGATTTAGAATTTAATTAGTGTCATTCTGCTTCGAAAATATCATATATTTCGTTAAACAAATATTTAATTGTTACTACCAAATGTCATTATTATGAAATCATATGCATTAATGCTTTTTCTATTATGATAATATCTGTTTACTTTTTTCGATAATTTATTTGAATAAAATAATGTCACTTTCTATTTCTGTGATGTGTTCTGAAGTAGAGCAAAATTACTCAATTATATTTAAATCGAATTTTACTCTTATGATTTTATATTCAAAATTAACAGTTTTGAAAAAATAAAAATATTCTGAAAGCATCGTGAAATCTTATTCATTATTGAGTCGAATCGAAGTATGAAATCATGTTCGGCATTCGAATCGACTCGATTGCAGAAAATTACATATCAGATAATTTAATGTAAAAATCTTTAATATGATATTATTTGAATTAAAGTTCATTTTTGAAAAATAGAAAAATGATAATTCATTATGCTCTATAATTTGAGTAGATCCAAAATGATTTTAACAAAATATTTATTAGTTTATAAAACCAATCTATAAAGACTTAAGAAGATTTTTTTTGATTGTCATATTCGAAATTGGCATGATAAATAATCCATATTCTAATAGTTTCTCATGAGAGAGAGAGAGGTTGATCAGTTGAAAACGTTTCTTCATAAGTTCATGACTTAGAATCATGTAAGGTCAATTTTTTTCAAAACTCGTCATAGTCTCGCAGAACTCTATTATTATCAGTGCAATACAAATACGATATATGCTATTTTTTACTATATTTATCTTCATTGGCATATTTATTAAAGGGATAAAAACTTCAATGACATTTAGATTTCAAAGCGAAAATAATTCTTTTTTTTTTTTAGGTGCATTAATCTATATTTTCTAGTGAAGTAATTAAAAGTTTGTACTTGACATAGCAAATAAGAATTTCTACTTATTGATGAGTTATGTTCTCTTTTTACTTTAAAGTATTTTTTCGAATCAGTTTACTTATATAGAATTCTACTTTAGTATTTTGAGAATAAATATGCGTGCTCGACTGATTCACCTATTATATTTTATTGTATTTAAGACATATTTTGTTCTAGATGAATAATAAATCATAGAAGTTTTTTTTTTTTTGTCTCTTAAAGAAAAATAAATGTTATCGTAATATATATAATAGGATTTGATCTAGGTCACCGAAACAGAAGTTTAATTCAATTTTTTTTTCTTCATATTATTTAGATAGACTATGAGAATAGAAATGAGCTTTACATTTATAAAAATAAATTCTTAAATAATCATTAATCTTGTAAGAATATTTTTCATAATTTTAACAATGAAGATTATAATTAATAAGTGTATTATGTTAAATTACAACTTTGTCTCTCATATCTTTTACTTATATATATATATACAAAAGTATATAAAGAAAATAACATTTTAATCTCTATGTAAATTATTCTTGTTGAATAATATACTTATTTATAAACTATACAATAAAAAGAAAAATATTAATAAAAATTTAAACTAATATCATATGATAAAAAAAAAATTATTTATTATTAACATTTTGATTAATTCTGTCGAAAGAATATACTATTCAAAATATAAATATATTATTTGAAAAAAAATACTGAAAAGTATTCAACATATTAATCTACATATCTTCTATTTTGTTATTTATCATAAATTCATACTTAAATATTTCTTCTATAAAATGATTATCTTAAAATAAAATTAAAAATCTATGATTTTTGAAAAATATTAAAATGTAATATTTTAAAAGATAATTATTATAAAAATTATTCATTGATTATATCAAATATTCTAATCGTTAATCTAAGATTTGTAATAAGCATTAAATTATGATTTACAAAATTGAAAAAAATAAAAGAAATTTCTTTTTTCAACATACTTCGAAGTTCACTTAAAAGTTTGGTAATTCGTACAAATAATGTTTCACCATATTGTTGAAATGCCGAAACTGAATTAAGATCAAGACGAAGTGTACCTTTAATGTGTTCCCATACTTCTTGTCCATATTTTGCCCGTATTATTTCAATAGCTGATTGTAACAAAAGACCATACATTCTTGTCTAGTTATTATCGTCTTATTTCGTGAACATACTTTCTAATAATAATGATGATAGTAATGGAAAAAATCGACATAATACCTCAAAAAGAAAAAGAGAGAAAAAAAGGATGACAAAGAAATCACGCGTATAAAACAAAAGGAAATACGAGGAAATGGAAAAAGAAAAACATTTCGCGAGCATCAATAATCAGTCAATAGGTGTCGAGTTGCTTTTTCCGTAAATTCAAGACGAAAATTGTTCTTTTCTTTCACGCGTGTAAAAACTCCTCGATAGATATTAAGGAACAAAGAAAGGTGCACGCGATGAACTAATGAAAAAATAAAAGAAGGATAAAGCCGACAACGAAAAGAGTCAAGCGTGTGATGAATCTATAATCAGTAAAATAGATCTCATCTTATAGAAATAAATAAATATATATATATATATACATAACTGAAGATGCGTTTTTTGACATGAATAAGCAAATTTCTTCTACTCATATTTCATTATCTATTACTACATACAACTTATTCTTAAAAAAGAAAAGAAATATAATCAAAACAAACATTTTTTTTTTTTTTGTTATACTAATAAGTTTACTCATCAATATCATAAAATGATCAAGTAGAAATTAGATAACACATCAATAGTTATCATTGAAGTAAAAGTAACGAAAAAAAAAGAAAACCGGAAATCAGTTTCCGTTTTTAATAAGAGTTTATATGGTCCAATAGTCATTGTAATTTTTTACTTACTATTGAAATTCTATTTATGTACACATATATCTATTAGGTTTTTTTTTTCTTTTTGTGTTTGACTATTATTGAAGTAACGAAGAGTAGAAAAAAAATAGTATTTTATGCATGTATAATAAATTCATTCAACCTATTTTTTCTTTGCATGATCAGTTAATAAATGAAAAAGCTTCTAATATATTTCATTGAAAATTTTTGAACTGAAAAGAAAAACAAACAAAAAAAAGTATGCATCAAATACTCGAGATAAGTTTAGATAAAATACTACACAACTAAATCTAAATCAGCTTTCTATCATTGTTGTATTAAATTTGTTTTTTGTTTTTTGTATCAATGAATAGATCATCAAAACAGATGAACTATTTTAATGATATTAAATATAAAAATCAGTGCAAATTCAAATAAGATTCAATAGAAGACTGTAAAAAAGATCTTACTTAAGTTAATAAAAACGGATTACATATAAATCATTCTAGTGCATTTTATGTTCGACTGAATAGCCATATAGAATGTCAATATGCTCAAACGAAAACTGTCTAACACATAAGCCAGAAAAAAAACAAATGATTTTTCAAGTTTTACCTGGTAATTGCAAAATTCCTGTTTGATTATTCGTTTACTTTATGATATAGAATAAGTCTTTTTTTAATTTTTTCTACTCTTAAACAGAAGCAAATTTTATGGAAGAGAAAATAAATTCTTTTCATTCAATGATAAATATCAGAATGGTTTTGACATTCATTTTGAAAGTTCATAATGCTTTTGAGTAAAAAATCTTCTTAAGAAGTACCAATATTTTTAACAATGCTCAACGTTTCTTTTTTTTTCCTAGAGCAGATGTTTTAAATCTTTCACTAATACGGTCTTATTAAATAACATCAGGTAATCTTAATCAATAAAACAATAGATGCATAACAAGTTAGATCAATTCAAAAACTTTTTAATTAATACATGTATATTTTATTAGACTATTTCATACTATATATTTTCTTTTACAATAAATATCTTTGTTCTATTTTTTTGATAATATTAATAATAGAAAGGAAACAGGATCAAAGCATTCTTAGAATTACTCAAGTATTATAGTTAAAAAGAAAATAATGTTTTTTTCTTTTTTTTTTTCTATACTCAAAGACTTATTGTAGGAAATATTTATTATGTTAATGAAAAAAGAAAATTAGAAAAATTGAAAAACATAACACAGTAAGAAGAATACATTCATTATAACCCAATAATAAAACATGAAAATGTCAAATTTATCTCATTGATTATGAACTATATAAATAAACTATTATGTCATAAACATAGAAGGTTGTCTGCATTTGACAATCAAATGAAGAATCGTCTAATCAACTGTTTCATTTAATAAGAAGTTGAAAGACAATCCAAACCAAAATCTATCATTTGACATTCTCTAGTGTTATTTCCTATTTGCTATATGCTATCGATAGAAATCACATATAGAAATACTTGCGACTCGTATGTGAAAGACATTCTATATTAAAAAGCTTTTAGCGCATTCCTGCGGAATAAATATGTAAGATACGATGTAGCTGCTGTTTTTACTTAATCATAAGAAAATTTTACTTAATCCTAGAAAAATGTAATCAAGAAGTAGTTCATCAGCGACCATTGATTGTATATCAACAAGATCTGTTACTGTATAGGTTAAATCATTTGTTAGCGACATGACATCGCAAATTTGGAGTATGCATATCTTGGAATTATCAGCTGGTTTAGGTGTGATTTTTGCATGTTGTACGAGTCTCTATTTGTTTTAGATGCCATGACAAAAAATTAACACTCTAGAACTTTGTTCAGAGGAATTATTAACGAAAAATCAGCGTTAGCGACGTGACACAAAAAAGAACATCAACTGTCACTTGATATACTTTGGTTTTTAAAAATTTCCAAGTGTTGCACAATTGCTGAAAACTTAATATGTGATAGTAGACACGACTTCTAAGGCTACCAAATCTCAATGTGAAATTATTTTGAGTATTTCTAGGTTTTTCAAAAAAACAAAATCTATTCAGCATTAGCGACATGACTCAGTACAACTTCACTACCGATCAAATGCTCTGGTAATAAGCTGAAAAGTTCAAAATCGATTCCAAGGAGCTCATGTTAATGGTACGGATCTCTAGAATAATACTAAGGCAAACATTTTCGTTTCAGTGCTATCTAAAGGCTCTGAAAGGTTGCTTTTTTCGAAGAAACTTTATAAAGTCCGATCTTGCTGAAAATTTTACCATATATGCGGCTCATATCCTAGAGCCTATGCTGAAATTTTCAAGTTTTTTCTTCATTCACTTCTCGAGATATTCACTAATTACTTCTTAATTAGTTCATTATTAATTAATTAATAACCATGTGAAAGAGCAAACAATTTTACATAAGTCGATGCAAAAACAATTCACTCATAAAACCTATACTGATAGAGAATTGCATTTAAATACAACGGATATATGTCCTGTTTTCGCTGATTTAGCCCAATATATACTTTAATGCTTTTTTCAGAGTGTTTTTTTACAAAAAGAAAATTATTTCAATATAATACATAACGAAAAATAATTTTTCAAAATACTTTTTTTACTCACTTTTTTTAACATAATGGGTAAGACGTTCTAGTCTTTTGGTTATAGAATCATTTACACAATATATGTATAAGGACAGTTATTAACATTATATAAATATAGTAAAGTCTAATATGTACACTTGTTATTTGAGATTATGCGAAGAATATTGATATATAATAAAAATTGACTTATTGATCATGATTAAATTTTTGAAAAGTTCTTTGTAGTATAAAGACATCGGAGATAATCAACAGGTATTAACATTATCATATGTTGCATTGTATTTTAAAACATATTGTCTTTTTTTTTTCCCAAGAATTATCTATTAAAATGTTTAAAGAAAATATAAGTTTTGATAGAATTGCTCGTATTATAGATGAGAAAGGCCTAGTAAAATTTGTTTTCAATCCTTGAATCATGACATTTTGCTGACATACACTTGTAATGACAGCAAATTTTAATTTTAATATACCATAAAAGCTAGGAACAAGAAATAAACACTTTAATTCATAGTTTTGTCTGGCAAACTGTAATAAACTAGTCCTGGACGTAAGAAAAGTGATGCAAAAGAACATTTTAATCTTGCTTTTATTAATGTACTATTTGATAACGAGTGGAATTACAAACGAAATTTTTCATTGTAAAACAAAAAGAATTTTTATATTTCATTTTATACAAATTGAGATGTTCTTCGTTTAAGTTTTGTTTTTCTATTTTAATCAAGTTAATTATAGCTTCTAATTATGAAAATGACTAAGAGATATGAGCCTAAAAATTAAAGAATATATAAATAGTCTAAAGTCATCAGTAACTTTGTTTTAACAGGAAACGGAATTTACTGAAGACATGAAAACTAATTTCAGAAAATTTTCTAGCTAATTTGAGATATTTTAAGACTTCATTCGATTTTTATATTGAGAAATGCAACTAAAAATAGATCATAAATTGAAATTTAATTTGATATACTTTTTATTTCCCTTCTATTATCATCTAATGAAATTTTTAAACTATTCTTACAGTGATATTATTTTTTAATTTCATTTTCTTGTTCGAGTAAGAATGATTATTATTTATTTTTTTCTTTTGATAGATATACGATTTCAATTTTCACTTGTTTTTTTTTTGAGAAATTTTTCAATTCGTACAACATTCAGATTTATTTTAATAAGAAATAAATAATATATAATTGTTTGAGCTACATAGTCAATAGAAATTTGAATTATAAACATTTATATTGTACTCTAGATTTCTATATCTATTTAATAATTGATTTTATATTTAAATATCAATCTTTATTGATTTTACATGTTAATGTTTTAATAATATATAATGTGTCCGTGTTTTTTTTTTCTATTATAATTAGATCTTTCTATATAAAATAAAACAGAATGCTTAACTATGTCTTATATATTCTTGTCCATGTGTTTCAATTTTCTCAAAAGGAAATTTTTTCTAATGATGCTGCGATTTGTAGACGAGACTAAATAACCGAGACATGTATTAATGATATAAATATGAGTCAAAATAACAATAGTGTAAGAAAGAAATAATCGAAAACATTCAGAGTTTTACATTTATTTTATAAAGAAAAAAGAGAATGAAGACATATCTGACATTTAGGTCATATGCTATGAATCACAAAAAACGTAGAAAAAAAAAATATTTATAACATTTAGCCTTAGTTTATCGTATACATGCGATAGGCTCGCGTTATTGATTATTATGCGATTATTTGCTATACGATGAAAAATAGATTTAATTTCTAGATATGATAAAATCAATAAGAAGAAAATAAATATTTTTATTTCATCTAAATTGAGTTTGATCATAATCCTAACATATACAAAAAAAAGTACAGGTAACAAAAATAATAAATAAGATGATTTTATTCTTATTCTATACGTCTACAGAAAAAAAAACGAAGTTTCTAGTAACAAAAAAAAAACAGGGAATATTTGATGATTTATATTAATATATATATAACTCATTATATACACTGAAAAAAAGCAGAACGCTTGAATGATATACAAACAGGTATGGCATATTAAATGGTACGTATCGCAGTCATATAAACGAAATATTTTCATTGAAAGTATAGGTAGTAATATATCGAGCTGTAGAATAAACTTAATAAGTATGGTAATTTGATAAGGAATATAATATTTGATGATATGTGTCCTTCAGTATAGTGAGAATGACGATGTCAAACTCATACGTATGAATAGATGGTAGTTTGTATTGTTCGCATTTGACAAGTTTTTTTTTTCTCTTCAAAATAATGAAAGTAATAAATTATGTTTCAATATTAATTAGAAAATTAATTTTTTGAAAAAAAATCAAACAAAAAAAAAGATACTAAGACTAATGAAAAATTAAGATATAAACAAAATTTAGTTTTTTGCTAAATGTATTCTAATTATATTCAATTACATTGATTTTCTCACCCAAAATATATGTCTAAGTAAACATATTGTTTTCATTGTGATTGTTTAACTAAATAAACTTTTATCTTATTAGATTTGTGATCAATCTGAATAATTTCATGTTCAATTAATTTCTCTAGTAAATTTCTATTTCCTTTCAACTGTAATGCATCACTAAAAGTTTCATCTTGCAAATTTTTTCTTTGTACATCACATCCCATTTCGATTAAATACTCCACTATACGATGTCGACATCCACGTGCTTTAAGACAAGCGTAAAGTAATGGATCATTGCCATCTTCATCTAAGCGATGAATAAGTAATGGTGATTGATGGAATAATTTCTTTAAAAATGCATATTGTTTTCTTTGTAATAGAACAAATACTAGATCTGTACTTGTTGCTAACCATAGTCCCAATGATTTATTATCTAGAATTGCATGAAATAATTGTTTTCTCTTTTGATTTTCCATTATAATATCAACAATTATTTCACTATTCCATGATTGTTGAAAAAAATTTTTTATTTTGTCATTATAATTAAAAATGAATAAAATTATATCGAGACGATTATTTATAATTAAATTTTGTAAAGGTTGTTGAAATGTTTTACAATATTCAATATTCCAATAGATTGTTTCATCGAAAATATTTTCATTAAGTAGAATTTTTAATATTTCAATTTGACTTGTATAAACAAATATTTCATGATCAATATTAAGTTGAATAGATGAAATCATTTGTAATAAATGTAAAAAATTTTGATTTCTCCAAAACTTTTCAATTGATACATATTTCAAACATTGTAAAGTAAAAAGCAGTAAATCTACAGCAGCTCTATAATATTGAATATTAAGAGAGCTAGATGATGTATGATTATTATAGTATTTTAATCGATATATAGAATAAAATAAAAAGTAATAAACTAAATAATCACTATGGTTAATATTAATTTGATTATATAAAAGTGTCGGATTTGAAATTATGAGTACTTTAAACATTTGTACGAGAGAACTCATATATTGTTGAGAGACAAATTGAACATTGGTAATATTTGCAAGTAATAAATGATTGACGGCCTGAACAAAATTAAATTTTAAACATTCACTATCAAGACATTCAAGTTTAGCACCTTTGATTAAAATTAAAAATTCAATTTGTTTAAAATTTTTCATAGGTTTTGAACATGTTTGTAAATCCAAAAATATTTTCTGTAATTCATTATCTAAATTATAAATTGCATCATGCGTAAGATGCATGCGTACAGATTGAAAATATTTTATATTTGATTCTAATAAATCAATAGATTGCTGATATTTATATGTGATATGAAAAGTAACTAATGATTGAAAACATTGTCGAAGTTGTTCATCGTTTTCTGTTATTTTTAGAGATAATAACTGTTGAGATACGTCATAAAATTCTTTTGATTGATAATAGTAATCAATATTTACATCATCAATGTCCATAAACAAAAAATCCGTTAGCAAATGTAAACGTTTATCAATAAGAATATTATTTATACGTTGATTTAAACCAGAAAAAGTTCGAAATATTCTATAAATATTACCACAATATCGTATTATAATCATTAATATTTCATCAGGCAATGTTTCAAACGTAGATAATAACATTTTCTCTGATGTGTGTTTTTTTGTATCAATAGTCAACATGCACTATCCACTTTTTATTTTTTAATATATTTGATTGTGCAATGTCTGTGTCATTGTTGAGTCAATTTATTAAATGTTTTTTTTTTCTCTTTTCTGTTTGTCGTAATAACGAAAACAAAGCGGTGTATCTCTAAACAGGAACGAAAAAAATATTTAGCTGATAACGTGATGTGAGGACGTTGTCAAGATTGTAGTTTTTTTTTTCTGTCCTTGAACATTGTCATACAAAGAACAGAAAAATAGGATTCGATCACGATAATGAACTTTTTTTGCCGATTTTCACCATTTGTTACATAAGACTTCTATCTGTATATAGAATCCTAGATGAAAACTTTAAGAACAATCAATTCAATTCTATTGAAATTTGAAGGATATACGTTAAACAATGGCTGTATACATACGACCAGTTCTTTAAAGTTGTCTACGGATCAAAGGCCAAAATCATTGAGAAAAATGTACAACATTGGCTTTGATTATGTGTAGTTCATTCCTATTCGCATCAATCTTATCTATTAAATAGACGTTTTAAGAAATCTTATTTACAACTAGATGACATTCCTATTTCACTCAGTATGAAACTGTGAATGTTGATTATAGAGAAACCGATATCTAATTGTTAAAAAAATGACTGATCGTTTCTCGAATAATTAATGTAGTTCTAAGCGCAGTATTTCTGTAGTTGGTCACGTATGCATTCAGCTAAAATAGTGAACTATTCTCCAGTCAACCGTTATAAATAGTTGAAATAATGAAAACTTTAGACAAGACAAATTCGACTCTAGATGAAATCATTTTTTCGTTCTTATATTAATTGAAACTTCATCGCTGGAAATTGAGATTACTTTACACTACAATGATGTACTCATTTTCTATTGCAATGATCTCGAAAACAGAGAGTCAAAAAATACGCAGATAAACATTATTTTACTGTTTTATTCACGTATTGAAGAAGGTAATGGATTTGAAGGGAATCTTTTTTCATATGAAATTCTTGTAACTTTTTGAAATCAAAACGGGTTATATATGCTAAGCTCGTGTTTTCTTGTTTGCGGACGTTTTTCCTTAATTGAAGAAAAAAATGTCCGCAATACAGAATCCGTGGGGGGAGGGGGAGGAGAGGCAAAAATGACCGCACATAGGGAAATGTCCGCATTATGAAAAGGCTTGTTTCAGAAAAAATATTAGTTTAACTAAATTCTTCTTGTCGAACACATCCAAATCTTTGGGCATGGATAAAGTATATTCAAGAGTCGGAAAAATCAGCAACGGTGTGGGTCAAAAACAAGAACAAGCTGAACAACATGCTACATGTCCTAGGAAATTCCAATGAGTGAAAAATGAAAAAGGATTATTTAGATAGTCTCTTGGATCTTCATGGTTACCCAAGCAGATTAAGTTTTCTGTTATCGATATATCAAGATGTTTACTAAAACTGAAAAAGATAATCTTGATTATATGCCTAAACAATGGTAAATGTTTCTTTTCTTTGCGCATACGATTTTTTTTATACAAATAAATTAGTGTGTTGATTTTCTCATGCGGACATTTTTCAATATGCGGTCATCTTCTCTTTCCCGAATTCTGTTTTCTGTATATTATTTTTTAGTTAGCAAAAAAGTCAGTTTCAGCAACAGAGTGGATATGTATCTTACCAAACAAGAATGCATTAGACCAAGCTCATCATAATGCGTTGTTCTAAATTTCTATTCGATTGAATATCTCATAAATAATAGATTGAGTAAGTGTTCTAATAAGCTTCTTATTTTAGGAGATGCAGTAGACAACTACTCTAATGATTATAAAATTTATTATAATGTAATTTATTAAATTCATATGGTACCATATCATTATTTAAACATGTGATGTTCATGATATACGTACCCAGGTTGAAAAATCTGACATCAGATCGTGCAAGATCTTATAAGATCTTGTAGTCTGAGCAAAATCTTACAAGAACCTGACGAAAAATCGTAGTCTCTGATTTCTTACACCAAGTCGTATTACAAGATCCTATAAAGATCTTATATGCATTTCATTTTCACCACATACTTATAGTGCTATTTGAGGGCCATATTAGTTTAAATAGAATACTGCTGTGATTAGTTCACGACACAACAGAGTCTTACAAGGATCTTTTAATACGACTTGGTGTAAGAAATCAGAGACTACGATTTTCCGTACGATTTTCGTCTGATCGTATCAGATCAAATATGATCAGACGTACGATTCTTGTATGGTCTTATTATCTGATTGTTCGCCCTGGGTATATATATTACTGATATATTACGATTGTTATCCAAACTTTTTACAATGACTATGAATAACATTATCCTACTATAAATATTATATTACAAAATACTTATTTGTAATGCTTCGAAGTCCAATTGTCGACGTTATCGTGTCGATCGAATCGTAACATTATAAATTAACTCATATAATGATTCATGTTTTCCAATCTCACAATGGATATGTGGCTTATTATTTTTTTCTAATGGAAGTGAAACATATAGATAAGTTGAGGAATCCTAGTGGCCACTAGGACTTCTCAAGATAGCTTTTTCAAAAGATAGACATAATCTATTTCGAATGGAATAGACATTTTTTTAAAATATATTAAACGCATATATTAATATTAATACACGAAACTAGAAAAACTTTTTTCTTTTGTTATGGGCTATGTTATTGTGTAGTACATGTAGGGTGAGGTACCGTACTGTATCACAGCCTGCCAGATGACTTCGTAACTCGACTCGAGGAGATTTCTTGTGCCTTTTATGGCAAAAGCAGTGTACTACTCTGAAACGCCTTTATGTTCGTAGGTCCCTCTCGTTGTTATTGTACATCATATCTACGTTCATTACCGCGATAATAAGCCGAGGAAACTTGAGTAGAAAGTGAACAGTAGTCGGACCGAGTTTACTAAGCAACCAAAAAACCGACTTTACATTTTCTTTTTCACGTAGTCAATATTATCTATCGTGTCTTTAATCGAAGGATGTTGCTGGTGGAAGAGATATTTGTCGGATAGCAAATGTCTCTTCTAGAAATGAAAGGGGTTTCGAGTAGTCACCCATGCCATAATACGCCGTACCAATGTTGTTGTAGAATTGAGCCAAATCGAGATGATTCGGAGGCAGAGCTTTTTCTCTTAGCTTAAGTGTTTTATCATGAAATTCAAGTGCTTTCTAGTAATTACTCATTATCCTATGCATTTCACCGATGCTAATGTATCTGCGGGACTCTGTTTCCTAGACTGGAAGGCTACAGTCTACAAACCGTAATTCACCTGTGTCTGTCTGTCTGTAACACCTGATACAAATGACCTTTTTCATGGTACAAAGTACCATAGTCGTGGTACAACTGACCATTTTCATGGTACAAAAGCGCCACTTTGGTGGTACAGGTGACCATTTATTTCACACAATTGGCCCTTTTCATTATACAGATGACCATTTCTATGGTACAGTTGATCATTCCTATGGTTCAAATGAGCACATCTGTGTCACAATTGATCATGGCTGTATTAGAAATGGTCATTACTTTGACATAAATCACCATGTTAGTCGTTATAATTAACTAAAGCATAAACTTTATCATATACATTAGCATCTTTTAATATTTTCTGTGAACTATTTGAATATATCTATAGTATGTAATATAAGTACAACATGTTACAAATATTAATACTTTCTCTTAAACTCATCATTATACAGAATTCATTTTTATTTAAAAGTATAAGGACATCTTTGCCGTCATATCGTCAGTCTAGGGCCAAGTGAATCGACATTCAATGTTGATGATCGTTACTTGTGACGATGCAATGCTCCTTTACTCTTGCGTACACATTTTTGTGTAGGTAAGAGTTTGCCACTAGTTACTACAACGCATAATAAAGCATTCAGGCTGACCATTAAGATGTAATCTTTTTTTTTTCTCATTTTCAATATTGCCATCGATCGATCGATAAAAAATCTATGTATGACATATGTTGATTTTTCCACAAGCCAACAAGCATGAGAACATACCTTCTGTTATTCTTCCCCTTTCATAACTTCAGATTACGATCAGTAGTCAATAATATCTCTAACAATGAGTGGTACTAGTCTCTTGCTGTTTAGTTTCGTAACTTGTCTTGGTTCGGTCTATCTATTGGATCCTATTTGCTCTGGCAAAGTGAATACGAATCCAATTTTACGTGAAGAACCTCGTCTTGTTGACACAATTTCGAATGGGAAACGATTCATTGTCGGATCAGCCTATGATCAAATCAACATCGTACACATGTATGGTGAAACGCCGTATGACATGGGCTTCGCATTGGGCAAATTAATGAGCAAAGAATTGAATCAATTAGTTCCAGAATATTTCGACTATTTATACCAACAAGTTGAAGAAATAATGAAAATAGTACCACCAGTAAGTCTAGCAATTTTCTCTAGCGGCATTGAATTTTATCTTCGTCTATGCAGTTCATCGCAAAATGGATTGCCGAGTTAGGATTAGCTGGTGCTCTCGATCTGACCTATGATATCACTCATCGTTACACTCCACCGTGGTTTGATGAAGAAATTCGCGGTGTTGCTGATGGTAGTGGGGTTGATATAAAAAAAATTCGTCAATTAAATATGCTTCCAGAAATGATCAAAGCAGCATGCACAGTGTTAGGAGCTTGGGGTGATTCAGCTGTGGGATCGACTTTACTTCATGTTCGAGCATTGGACTGGGATGACAAAGCTCCAATTGCTAAATATGCCACAATAACTGTGTATCATCCTAATGCCTCCTATCAAGGTTATAGTGATCATTTTCATGAATACTACAAACAACGCAACTATAGTTCGCATGCCTTCGCTAATTTCGGTTATCCCGGTCTGATCGGCTCGCTCGGTGCTTACAGTGAGGCTTCAATTGGTCTGGGTGAGAAAGTATGGATAACGAAGGAGCAGGATATCACCACACGTTTTGGTAATCCATGGACTTATGTTCTTCGCGATGTTGTTCAGTTTGCCGATTCCATCGATACAGCACTGACCATGATGGCTAATGCTCATCGCACCTGTTCGATTCATCTCGGCCTTGGCGCTTACGAACGTAATGCATCGATCACTACCGATACAAATATGGGATTCCGAGGTATTGAATATAGTGCGAGAGAATTAAATGTTTACAATTGGGAGGATATGTTCAATACAAAAGCGCATCCTGTTCTTCGAGACATTGTCTATTGGGATAAACATGTACAACCATCCGATAATCCTTGTCTGGGAAGCTTGTTAGTAGCCAATTATGGCAATATCGATGCGGCGACCATTATCTATAACATTACCAGTCTATCAGAAACCGGTGATACAATGAATGTGGTTCTTGATTATGTCGAAAATGCTGTATATATCGCTTACAGTGCTCCGGATGATCCACATGGACCTTTGGAAGCCTTTAAACGCACTCATACACATATCGATATGGGTAAATTATTTGCCGAGCCTGCTCCGAAGTAGACATTGTTTTTCTTTGAATAAATCACCATTGATTTTTGCATTAACAAGAACATTTCTTTTCACTTTCTAAATTGGTCAAACGCAGGTAAAGTAAAAAAGATAGAAGCAAACAGCAACAGGAACAAGGTTGACAGATGACGTGTTGCTTCACCTATTTCAAAATCATTCGAGTAAGGCAGCCAGAAAGTATAGGACAGCGACAAATGAATGCTGACTAAAGAATGTACATCTCATACTTATTACTTAATTCAAGGCACTAACGAGCAGAATTGATTTTGAATATATGATGACAATCAGATGTTAAAGTGCGCAAGCATTGTCAGTTTCGGCATTTCAAAAGGAAATACATCCATCATCAGCATTTGCTGATTAATGAAATCAGACGACAATAAATGATTATTGTTTTCTCTCATCGGTTCACCACAAATGATAAAATATGTATTAAGACTAAACGAGTCTTCGGTCGGCATATTCTTGGCATTCGTAAAAACTTAGAGAATCGTTTCTCATACACGAGCAGATCCAATTTCTTGAATTGATTGTCAACTTATGCTTGAGATGTTCGATGAAACTATCAATACACATGAATGTAGGCATACGTTTTCTCTTAATCTACAAACTCACACTCTTTTCACTTAATTCACTACAAATATGACGAATTGCCATATCGTTGTTCTCTATTAAGACGGGTGTCTCTTTCTGTTGCCGTACGAAAGAACAGAAATAACACAAGGTCTCCTTTGCATTTATATGAGTGGCTCAGTCAATCTTGCATTGCTTTCAATAGGAAGAAACACATGTTGAGTCTTGTTAAGTGTAAAGAAATATGAAAAAATGCATTGCAGTGGCGATAGAAAAGAAATGAATGAACAACAAACAAAACCTTCCGAGAAAGATGTTGAGAAAAAGTATACGAGAACAAATGCTCTCCTTCGTTGCATTAAATAGATTTAAGTCTAGATATATCCGTAAGAACGTCACACGGCTGATATTTTTATCTACGTTAGTTTCTATTGAAATGACCAATTTTCAGATCGATCTACTCTTTTAATAAGAAGTCACACTTCGATGTAAGTGTGATACAGCCTTAACTCGTTCGCTTTTGCTTCTTCGAAGTATGGTGTATTTATTCTATTCTCTGGTGAAGCTCTTAAAGAAACCTTGCTCATTCAATCTCATTCGATCAATTGGTTGACAGAGTAAACATTTGTTTTCTGTGACAATTACATCGATGTTCGCTCAAGATGAGTCTTCCACACACTTGAAATACTAGTTTATATTCTATCATGTGGAGCGCTCGATTGTGAGACTAATGTAGAAGTGTAACAGAACAGAAGAATTCTTGCTATCATTATGTCTCAAATTGATCTGTTCATTTTCCCCTTCCCAACAAAATATAAATTAGAAATCATATATTTAATTGAAAGAGTGACAAAAGTAAGATTGCCTACCCTGTTTCAATTATTATCATGAATAACAATGATGTAGAGTCTATCAAATAATCATGAGTTTCGATTGAAGTTGAATACCCATCGAGCATTTGACAATGTCGGTCTTTGGTGTTTGACGGTGGTTCTTAAACAGTCAATTGATCAATACCTACCTAGATAAGCTTTCGCCCAAGTATTACTAACCAGGGCCAAATATTCAACACTTTGTCCCTGATTTACATTTTTTCTGCGTTTTTTTTTGCATTGTATTCTTCGTAAATATCTTCGCAAGTAGATTGAAAAAATACTGTGCAGCTATTAACAGATCGATGGTAGATAATGATCCACACTTCAAATGATTTTATTCTTGATGAAACTATATTCAGAGTATGCACATGATTCGAGAAAAATATTCTATTTGAACATAAAATACCTGTCTGAAAAAAGAAACATCACATTATAACTATATTGGCAAATCAAAAATATAATTAAAGAGCAATAAAGACAAGATTGTGATTGTCGATGTAAGTATGCGTTTTCTCTACAAACTCATATGACACTCCAAACGTTTGCATCACATTCAAGCACGCACTAACTAATTGACACTCCAGTACCACATTCATCCATCACACCCGTACCCCACACATAAATCATATCACACTCATGCCCACAAGACTTCTATTGACTAATGCATGTCACTATATATTTCGTTACATGATTTGAAGTAGCAATGGAAAATCATATCAGTCTTATTTAATGTCTAACCAATGCTTGACTAAAATATGATTTATCACTGCATTCCAGTCTTGAAAATGTTTCTCTTTTTGACATTTACTATTGAAACATATCGGCTCTGGGTATTGTTTTGAATGATCTGCTTTAATATGAGCTTCTAATTTCAGCAATCCTAAATAAACTTTATCACCATCGTTGCCACTGATGACTCTGTTACACTCTGAATCGTACGGACACCGAAGAGGATAAGGATGGCATGTTACTAGATGGTATTGAAATTGAGGTCTTGTTTTAAACGATTGAACGCAAGCATCGTAACTACATTTCTTACATTTGCCCTTTGTTTTTGTTTGCAACGGTTTCGATTCTATGAAGATTCCAACAGCTGCTAAATGTGTCAGTAAGATATGTCTCAACACGCCATCCCAGCTTTTGAACAGCTTTTTTTCTTTCGATTTGCATTCAGGATCAGAACATGTAGGCTGAGAAAACCGTGCTGCATGTTCTAATAAGACATGCTTACGTAAATGGAAATACCCATGATATTTTTTTTCTGACTGTTGACAGTCTGAACCAAATGGACACAGGATAGCCACGTGATGTTCATATATTTCATGTCGTTTTAACATTTGTTCTTCTTCATACGATCGATTACAACTGTAATACGTACATTTAAATGGGCTGTCTATATTCCAAGATGAAATGCTCGTCGTTGATTTTGTTTCAATAGATCTAGTGTTTATTTCAGAAACTATTTGTTGTCGTTCAACTATGTTCGGAATAATTCCACTAGAATACGTAGAGTAAACGAATAATAATTGAGACTAAGAAAAAAAGATTCAAAATCAACTTACTCTAATACATATTCAGTATGTCTATTAAGAATATGATTTACTACAGTAAACCAATCTTTGCAGGATTTTTTACTTTTACATCCAGCAATAGGACAGATTCGTTGGGGAAGCGAGTCTGCGTGTTGAGATATAACATGATTATGTAAGTTAAGCATACCTCCATATCTTTCGTTTGAATCGAAGCATTCTTTAGCAAACGGACATCGAAGCCGAATCGGATGTTTTTGTACTTGATGTTGCCGTAAACTATGAAGTGTTGGGTATGATTGCTTACAATTATTGAAACCACATGTCATCATTCGTTTTTCGATGACCGTCTTTGCCATGTTTGTCGCAAACGTTGCTGTTGTTGTTCTTATTGCTTCTTTCACAACTGACTGAGTATTTGAATGTTTAGCTAATGTATGATCATTTAAGCCATTCACGCATCTAAATTGTTTCTTGCAGCCTTCAATATCACATTGTATTTGTTTCTTCGCTTTCTTTCTTTTCTTCTTAGACTTCGTTTTTGTCATCATTGATTTGCTCAACATTGGCTGAGCAACGAATTCTATGTTTCGATCTTCAGTTAAATTCTTTACCTTATAACTAAAATACAGATAAACGCTACTTCACATTTACACAGACAGTTTAAACAACTTACTCAAGTAAATATTCAATTCGATTTGAACCATCTTTCAAGTTTTCAAGCCAACAATAGCTAGAAATCTTTGCTTTTGAATAATGTGTACATTTTAAATGTTCAATCAGTTTATCGTAATGACTTTCAATTCCATATATAATCCAAATAAAATCACATTCATGTCCAGCTTTGGCTGTTATTAATTTTTCGGTACTATCTCCGTTGTTATCCTTATCTGCTTTTGTTTCTATCGATGAGTACAACCATATACTTTCAGGGTACCTAAATTTTAATGCTTTGTAGTATTCGTCGATTTCTACAGAAGATGAATTGTAACAGATATGATAGTGAATATTCGATGCATCGTTCATCAGTTTCATAGCTTCTTCAGCATTGTTTTTAAATGTTAAAACATTCTTTAATTTATCGCTTTGATTTAATGTGTAAGGATGAATATTACTGAACAGTTCATGTCGTCCGAAATCACCATCGATTAACACACAATGTCGTGTGTTTTGTGGATAATCATCATTTTTATTGCTTTTCAAAGCCATGTCTTGCTTGTATTTTTGTGTTAAACGATACTTCTATGCAACAAGCATTTTCTATTAACTTATATAAGATTTTCGTCATTCAAAATTCAAACTGATTTTGATCGCTTCTTTTAGGTGGTTTCATAGACCGTGAACTGCTAATCACGGAAAACTAGTTTTTAATATTCATTGTCACTCTTTTCAAGGCAAATAATACCAGAAACTAAGTGCATGTTGTTTTTATTCAAAAAAGAAATCTTTTCAAAATTATCCTACTTTTTTTCTTTACTCTACTTGGCAACTTCTAATAGTATGTTTTTCAAGTTCAACATAAAAAACTACGAATAAAAACAATGTTAAATCAATTCTCCCAGGAAGAAGTGAAACACTGAAAATGCCGTTTAAACTGTCATAATCACCCGTTCTGTTAGGAAATGGTAATAAACGGCAAGAAAAAATGTGATCATCACTTTTCTTCCCGTTTTTACGTCTAGTCAGCGTTTTCAAGCGTTATTCGCATTAAATAGTCTCTGAAACGGTTATATAAGTCATTTTCTTCTTCATAAAAGATAGTGAGAAATGTTTATGATCATCTTTTCCAACGAAAACAGTTGTAAATGCTCAAAGTAGATTTAACCTTTTTTTTGGGACTGGTTTCCATAATTATTTATATTCTCGTGAATTTATATTTTTTATTGTTTCACAGTATGCGTGAAAAACATTTAGTCCGTTTGGAGCTTCCATTTATCTTTTGATCTGCTGCATTAATTCAAAAAAGTATTCGCTGTAGATTTAATTATGTGAAAAAGAGTTCCTTTGATCAAAG